CCACCTGGCCTTTTTGAAGCTGGATTTGGGGGGGGGGCATGTTGGATTTGGAAGGAAGCCTCTCCGTGGGGTTTATAGGATCAGCTTGGGAGTAGTCTTTCCCTGGCCTGGCCTCTCCTGTTCCCTCTCACCCTCCCTGCTTCTTGGTGCCACTGACTAGGGACCAAGACATTCAAATACGGCAATGGAAGGCCCTGAGCACCCCCCCCTCTCTTTCCCTGTCCAAAGAGTTGCTTGTGGGAAGGGAGGGATTCAGGATTGGGACCCAGGTGTGCAGGGAAGTGAGGCTACCTCCACCATGCATTGGAGTTCCAGTAAAATACAGGCCCTGGAGGGAGGGAGGGAGAGGAGCCCCCCCTCGCTGCTTGGGACTTCTCCCCCCCCTTGCCTCACTACAGCAACCCACCACCCACCAGGCTGCCCCTCGAACACACAGCAAGGGTGAGGGAGCCAGCATTGGCCATCCCCCTTCCCGCCCCTCCTGTTTGTGTGCTGCATCCACTCTCCCCCCTCGCCCCCGCCCCAGGCCTCCTGCCTGCCCAGCCCAAGGCGACAGAGGAGGGCAGCCGACTTTCGAGGGTCCCGAAAGGGCAAGACATGGTTCCTTCCTGAGGTGGTTGTGATTCCATTTGTACTCGGGATGGGATACTTTGGGGGGGGGGTTGTTCCTGCCTTATATGCTGAAATAACCTTGCCTGGTTTTAGATACTCTACATTAGGTCAATGGGACAGGCCACTGTTGATGCTCTGTCTCAGGCAGCAAAAAAGCATGGGCCGCCCCTATCCCAGGTGTTGGGATATAAGTTCGTTCCACTTGGAGGCTATTTCCGTGTGCCTCACTGCTTGTCAGGGAGCCCCCTGGCGGGGGGGGGGGAGGCTCTGACACTTCCTGCAGCTTCTGAAGTGGGGCAAGGGCAGCCCCACAGAGAGTGCTTTGCAGTAGACTAATCCTGAGAAACTCCCTGGAAAAGACCCTGATGTTGGGGAAAGTATGAAGGCAAGAGGAGAGAAGGGGACGACAGAGGACGAGATGGCTGGACAGGGTCATCGAAGTGACCAACATGAATTTGACCCAACTCCTGGAGGCCTTGGAAGACAGGAGGGCCTGGCGTGCTCTTGTCCATAGGGTCATGAAGAGTCAGACACGACTTAACGACTAAACAACAACAAATTCTGCAAGCAATGCCAGCCGCCCAGGGCCGGGCTGCCCTTCTCTAAGAACGAGCCAAGGGGGTGGCGGCAGCTGTGCACCCAGGATGCCTCCGCGGTCTCCGGTGACCAAGGACAAGTTCAGGAGCATCCCCCCTTCCCCCCCCACACACACACAGAGGACAGAGAGGGCTCCTCCTGACGGCCGCAGGCGGTTTGTGTCGGAAGGAGCTGCCTGGGTGCCTGTCTTTTCAGCCCGGATGAGGCTTTGAACTGGCGAAGGCCCTGTGGATCTTCCTCTTCTGAGGAAGAGGGCTAGCAATCGAGGGTCCGGCTCAAGAGGCCTGTGCGGGGGGGGGGTTAATATATTACCCTGCATCGCTACGTGGTGAGAGGAGATGCATGCCCTGGGCTGGAAGCACTGGTCCCCCTGCCCCCCAGTGGGGCCTTTTCCCTGTGGGTGTAGGCCTTCTTCTTTCCTCCTCTCTCCCCCAGCTGGTCGCTTCCTTCTGCCCCACACCTGCCCTTTGGAAAAGGCATCCTTCTTCCTCACCCCTTCCTGCCCCTGTGCAGGTGAAAGAGGGGCCTCCCTGGCAAGACCTGGGGGTCTAAGAGCCAGCAGCCAGGCAGTGGCTCTTCCTCTCCCCCCCCCCAGCTTGCCCCAGTGAGAAGGGAGGGCAGCCGACTCTTCAGACCGCGTCACTGGTACTCAACACCTGCTCTCAGGCTCGAAAGAAGAGGCACACCTCTCTCCTGTGGGGAAGGGCCAAACCCCGAACCATTTATTCCCCCTTGGTCGGTGCGTTCCCCAGCAGACAGAGCCGGCCGGGGCCGCAGGCGCTAGGGGGGGCCCTTGGAGGCCTGGGGCCGGTCTGGGGGCCCCTGGCGACTCCCTTTGCTCTCCACCAGGAGCCCTGCGCTGGCCTTCCCCTTAGAAGCCTGCTTCTCCTGCTCTTCCGAACTGCTTCCGGCCGCCTGCGTTTCGGGCCGTCCTTGCACGGAGGGGAGAGGACTGTGCGAGGAGCCGGGCGCTTGCACCCCAGTCTCAGGGCTGCTGTCGGGCACGGCCGGCCTGAGCGAGACCTCGCACCGCCCCTTTCCTGGGCTGCCCAGGTGGAGCGAGACCACGTTGGGCCCCTCCAAGGCCCCCTTTGGACTGTGGCTGCTGCTTTCCTCGGCCCTGGTCCTCTTGCTGCTGCTGCTGCTGCTGCTCTTTGGGGGCTTGGAGGCGGGCCCCTCCTGGCGAGGCGCCCAGGGGTCTGGCAGAGGGGCCCTGTTTTCCACGCCAGGGGGGATTGGAGACCCCCCAGCCGGACTCAGGCCTCTGCCTGCCAGGGGGAGGGAGAGCTGCCTTGACTGCCTCCCGTGGGCCACCTTCCACAGGGGCTCCTCGAAGTCCTGGTACATGTGCCGCAAGACCGCGAAGCCCCCCGGCAGGCTCTCCAGGTTGCTGAGCGTCCGGTCGCAATGCCTGGCTATTTCACGACGGATTTCCGGGCTCCGGATGTACTTCACAATGTCCGCCACCACCCGGGGGTTCTTCAGCAGGTGCCCGATCTCCGCGTTCTCCTCGGCCAGCTGCTGCAAGGCCGGGTGGGTGGCCAGCACCTGCCGCAGCAGCCGGTCCTCCAGCTCCTCCTGAGCTTCAGAGTTGGAGAAGACCTTGCCGATGTCCACGAACAACCGGTGGAAGGTGTGCACGTCATCCAGCATGTCTCCAACGGCACTCATGTCTGCCTCCGTCGCCAGGGCGCTCCCCAGATGGAGGAGCTTCTTATAGATGGCCACCATCCGGGAGAGCCCGCTGGGACTCATCCAGGTGCTGAAATGTGGTGTCTCCTGAGCAAACTGCCTCAGCTCCGGGGACTCCGACAAGAACTGGGCCATCTCCTTGGTGCTGGCCAAGATGTCCCGGACGCTGGCTCTCTCCAAGGCCTGGGCGATCTGCCCCCGGCCCACCACCCTCTCTGACCCCTTGCTGGGCTTCAAGGTGTTCAAGCCGATAACGGTGGAGACAGCCAGGACGAAGGCGATGGCTAGCGGGCTGCAGTCACCGGAGATGGTGCTCTGGACGGTGGGGCTCTGCAGCACCTCGCTCATGAGCTCCGGGCAAGCCTGGAAGTGCGCCGGCACCTCGTTCAGCACCTCCAGCAAGGCCAGCAGATCCCGCCGGGAGCTGTCCAGCAGCACTTGGAGGCTGGAAGCCGTGCCGGGGGGAGCCTCGCAGCCACTGTCCAGAGGGGAGAGGGCTCTGCCGTCTGGCCCCATGGTGGGCGCTTGCAGGGAGGACTGGCCCCGAAGCGGTGGCTTCCTCACCACCAGGTAAACCGTGCGCCCTTCCTGGATGTCGTGCTGAAGAAGGGTGTCCTGGTCTTTCAGGATTTTCCCAGCAAAGATGAGCAGCACGTGGTCCTTGGCGGCCTTGAAGTAGGGCGCCACCTCCTCCTTGAGTTGCTCCACCAGGCTGTTCGCAGCCACCTGGAACTCCTGGATGTCTGCAGAGCCTTTCACGGTGACGGTGATGAGCCTGCTCTCGTGGCCATCGGTGGCCACCCCTGGGCCGGCTCTGGGGACACGGAGGCTTTGCTCATGACTCGCCTTCGGCCACGGTTCCATCTAGAGCAAGGAAGCAGGGAAGGGCCTCGTAGGTTTCCTGTTTGCCTCCACGGCAACCATGATTCATTTCCCCCGAGCTCTGCCGGATTCTTAGAGCACCACCACTGCTGGTAGATGTAGAAGGCAGGTTACCTGCTCTGTCCGGCTGCCTTGAGCACCGCAGCCCTTCCTCTTCAGGAATGGCCATGTTGGAGGCCTCCTAAATCCACTATGTCATCATGGCCATGACATCACAGTCCAGCCCTGACAGGCCCATGGGGCACCGTCCCCTCCCCTCCCCCCAACCCCCAGGGTGTTGCAAAGGCACTTGAGTAAAACTTTGCTCTCTCTCTCGCTCTCTCTCGCTCTCTCAAAACACAAAGAACCACCCTGGGTCCAGAAGGAAGGTGTGAAGCACACCCACATCTGACACCTTTGCCTACGTAGAGGAAGCCCTTCTGGCTCTCCATATTCAGTCCTCACAGTAATGTCTTGTGCACCGTACACGTTCCGTATGCGCCGGGACAATCAAGAACTGAGGCATGACCCTTTCCTTCAGGAAAGACCACGGGGGTTTCTCATTCTCACAGTCCATGATATCCCAGGCAGTCCCGCGCCAGGGCCCCATCCACCACGCAGAGGATCACGTTAGGCAGCAGATATTTGCAATATACAGTGGTGCCTCACTTGACGACAATAATCCGTTCCAGCAAAATCGCTGTAGAATGAAATCATTGTCAAGCGAAAGTAAAAAGCCCATTGAAACGCATTGAAAATCGCTCAATACGTTCCAATGGGCGAAATACCTCAGCGTCCAGCAAAGATCTTCCATAGGGCAGCCATTTTCTGGTGCCTGTAATGCGAGGAATCCATCCTCAGCACAGTGGGGAGCCATTCTGAACAATGGGCGGCCATTTTGAAACCCGAAGATCAGCTATTTTCTGATCGTCATAAAGTGAAAAATTGGTTCCCGAAGCAGGGAACCGATCATCGTGAAGCGGATTTTCCCCATTCAATCATTGTTTTGCGATCGCAATAGCTTCTATAGTTACTGCACTACTTCGCATCTATAGTTACTGCACTACTTCGCATTCCCTTTCTTAGAGATTGGAATGTATATTGTTTTGTCATGTGCCTCTTCCTTCTCAAAACCCAGCCTGAACACCAGGCATTTCTCGTTCCATATAAGGTTGCCTTTGTTGCAACACCTTCAGCATCATGTTGTCTGCATGGGAAATTAAAGCAAGGCTTCTATAGTTACTGCACTACTTTACATTCCCTTTCTTAGAGATTGGAATGTATATTGTTTTGTTTTCCATATCTGTTGGTATATTCTTGTAAGGATTTTGAAAGATTCAGTCTCTGTGGCTTGAAATAGTTCCAATAATATTCCATCTACCCTTGGTGATTTGTTTCTTCCCAGTGCTTTCAAGCAGCTTTCACTTCAGTTTCTAGAACTGCAAGTTCCTCATCATAGGATTCGTCTTCAAAGGAACCTGTCATCCTTTTATCTCTTCTGTAAAGTTCTTCAGTAGGTTATATTCACCTTCTCTGTTCCCCTGTTTCAGCATCTTTAAATTAGATTATAATTTCTCTTTGATTTCTTGATCTTCTGGAAGGGATTGGTTGTTTTCCTTTTGTTTTGTTTTTCTTCTGTTTCTTTGAACTGCCCATTGTGATAGTTCTCTTTGTCTCTAGGTGATAGTCATTGAGAAGTTGTGTTCAGGATTATGACCCTATTTCTGTCACCTTTTACTTCTTGCCTGGCAAACGTTTAACAATTTAAATTATTTATTCCTGCATCTATCTATCTATCTATCTATCTATCTATCTATCTATCTATCTATCTATCTATCTATCTATCTATCTATCTATCTATCTATCTATCTATCTATCTATCTATCTATCTGTCTATCTGTCTGTCTGTCTGTCTGTCTATCTATCTGTTTAAATAACCACGTTTTTAATTGGCTTTTGAAAATACCCAGCGAGGGTGCCAGCCGGATTTCAGTAGGGAAGGTGTTCCACAGCCAAGGGTCCCATTTCCTGAAGGTGGAAATTGTCTTACTATGGTCTGAGGGAGAAGGAAGCCCATGTCGGATGCTCTCCTATGCAAAGCAAGCTACGAAGATATCAGATTTGTGTCCTCCAGATTTGTGTCCTCCACCACCACTATGCCCCTCACCTTTGGAACCGTCTGCCCCCAGAGATCCGTCCGGCTCCCTTACTGGGTGTTTTTAAGAGCAAACTTAAGAGCTGGCTCTTTAGGCAGGCTTTCCCTCCCGTCACCACTTGAATATTTTTCCCCATCTTGAACAATACTACTGTTGTTGTTGTTGTTGTTGTTGTTGTTGTTGTTGTTGTTGATATGTTTTTTATTACATCCATTATTTTTAGCCACCCAAAGTAGTCTTTGGTCTAGATGGGTGGGGTATAAATTTAATAAATTAATTAATAAAATAGGACCAGCAAATGACCACTGAGGGGCACCTCAAAATCTAGGTACCTCTTCTAAGAGACTGCCGCCTTGAAAAAAAGGACATGGGGGGGGGTCACAGCACAGGTTGTCCCTCCCTCAGGTCAGGCAATCCAGGCTGAGAGAGGAGACCCTCATTACCTGAACAATCCAGTGGTTCAAATTGGTTGACTCTTATGCATCATGGGTTGAATCCAGGTTGAAATAGCTGAATCGCAGGAACCCTCATGTCCCATTGACCTCAGTAGGGTCTAAGCAGATCTGACACAGGCTGGTTCCAGCCGAGTCTACGACCACACCAGTCCCTCTACCTGGCCCCGGCTTGTTCCCTGAACTGTAGGATCGGGGCTCTTCCCGGAACAGCCTCCTCCACCCGTCAACCTTCCTGGGTTCTCTGCCTTCGTCTTTTTTCCCCCTCCCTCATGTGGCTATTTTGTCAGGGGGGAAAAAGGTGGGAGAGCCACATTGGGTCAGGGCCCTGGTTGTGCCCAGGGGTCACCAACGTCAGGGGTCAGGGCAACAGGACCCTGCCCACAGCACGGCGTGCCAAGCACAAGCTCACCCACGGACCCACTAGCCAGGAGAGGGGCAGAAACCGGAACCCCGGGACCGGAACCAGGCCACGGGAGTGGGAGCCCTGAGCCAGAGAAGGGAGCAGAAAGGCCGGGTCAGGAAGGCAGGAGTTCGGAGCAGGAATGGGAGCGGGCGCACCAGGGCTTCCGAGCAAGCAAGGAAGGACAGGAACACCAGAGGATGGCCAAAGAGGGATGGGGCGGAGGCAGCTTCTGGGAGGGAGAGTCCTTTCCAAAGTAGGCCTTTCCTCAGGGGGACTCCCAGGGGCGGCTGCTGCCCCAGCAGGGCTTGATCCTGCAAACACTGGGGTTTGCCTGGGACCAAGCTGGCCCCGATCCTGCAGCTGCCAGGGCGGTGGTGCAGGGGAAGCCCTGCCGCTGCCCAGATCCTGACACACAGGGCCCTCTGACCTTGCCGGGTGTGCGCGTTTTGGTCAGTTCCCTGCCTAAAAGAGCCCATAGACTGGAACCAATCCCAACCTGTTATACCATTTAGTCTGGAGGGGGATGGGGAGGGGAGGGACCCCTGAGGACCAGTGGCTAGATCTGTGCCTCTGAGGATCGTGGCCCAGTTCCATGGGCTTCCCCAGATTCCCCGCTTCCCCACGACACCCTCGTTTGATGGGCTCCAAGCCTGGATACTGATGGCCCCCTCCTTGGAAAACGAAACTTTGAAGCACTCCTCTGGGGGGGGGAGGGTGATGGGTGACCAGCAGGAACAGCTTCAAGCCAGAGGCATCGAATCCTAACCGAGGGCAGCTTCTTGCTCCCTCCTTCACATCTTTCCTTCTGGCACCAAGGGGTAGCTCAGCCCCAGGCATAGGGCCGTTCTCTGCGTTGTTCTCCCACTCCTCCGCCCAGAATGTAAAAGGGACTTCCAGTCGTTTGGCTTGATCTCCATAGGAGGAGGATCAAGGAACTGACAGGAGAGAATGGGGTTTCGAAGGGACAGAGAGCCCACTTGCCCCCTCATGACTGGAATGACCTGCTCAGCTAACTGCTGTCTTGCTTCCCCCAAGCTGGCCATGACGCAGGGTGGGGTGGGTGCCGATTGAAAGGAAGGGAGCTTTGACAAAGACGAAGCCTGTTTGGAAAGTGGCAAAGAGGGAGACCCCATAATATCCCTGCCTCCCAGGTTCATAAGTAATGCTTCTGTTGCCATCTCAAATGGGATGGTCGTCCTCCCCTGAGAAAGGACCTGCCTGCCTGGCTGGACTGCGGGAGGAAGCCACAGAGCGAGCTACCTGGCAGCGGTGGCAGCGGCGGGATCAGGGCCCTGCCCAGCATCTCGCCGGCACAGGGAGGGGCAGAGCAGAGAAGGGAGGCAGGCACAAAGTCTCTGCCCTTCATTCGAGGGAAGGGACACGAAATGAGCCAATCTCCAAAGCTGACGGTCAGGAGGAGCTCCTGACACAGAGAAGCAGCAGCAGCTCGCTCACTCCACCCGCCCCCCTTCACTCTTTGGTGAAAATCATCCCCAAAACTGCCCGTGGTTACCCCAGGGTCTCAAAACCCACAGACAGGTGGGAGAGGAAAAGGATGCTCTCCCCTAGAGTCCAGGAGGAGACCAAGGCTGCAATCCAACAGGGGAAAAGCTCGCAGGCTTTTAGCCAAAAGCCAAAGGAGGTGGGCTCCTTACCCCTCCCCACTTCCTTTGGTTAGAGGCCAAGGGAAGGACATGGAGCCCTGCACTCTTGCCCCTGAAAGGAAGACCGAGGCAGTGCCAAGGACCCACCCAGGAGGAGGGGGACGCAGAAGTCCCCTCCCTCCCTCCCTCCTGGTATCCAGGCAGTGGTTGGAGCTTGGGGCGGTCTGCTATGCAGGGCATCTGAGGGCTCAAAGCAGAGGCCTTCCTGGCTTGAGTAAAGGAGCACTGAGGCCTCGATAATATCCACCATGCTGACTTTAGTGTGTCAGGTGACCCTACAAGAGGCAAAGGTAAATCTGTGGCTAGGAAGCCCGGGAGTTTGTTAGCTTTTCAACAGCAGCCGCGATATCTCCGTCTGTGTCAATTAACGCCTGCAAATTCTGCTCTGGGTCGTGGTGGCCCATGGCCTGGAGCTGCTCCAGCTGCACCTGGTAGAGGACAGCCGGGCTCTGCTGCTCCATGGCTTCTTCGTCGTCTCCTTCGGTGTCTCCCTCGTCTGCTTGGGACCTGTCGCTCTCCAGCTCCAAGCTCTCGTTGGCCGAGAGGAGGCTCTCTGTCTCCGAGGACAAGCTGTTGTCGCCCTCGTCCGAGTCTTCCATGCTCTCGGGCTCCACGTCTGGGTCGGTCAAGGCCTGGAGGAAATCAGGCACCTCCCGGGTCAGTGTCAGAAGGCTCGTCTGCATCTGGAGAAGAGCCTGGACAGCCCGTGGGTTGGTCAGCAGCGCGGCGGCCTCTGACTTTGCCAACGGCGGGGGGAGTTGCGGCTCCCACCTGTGTGGCGGAGGAGCCCCATTGCTTGTGGGGAAGGTTTGGTGGCTGAGGAAGGTCTGTGTGGGGCCCTCGGGCTCCGCAAGCGCACTCGTCATGTTCTGCATGAACTCCAGGTTGTCCGTCAGCTGATGGATCATGTTCTGGATGCTTTCAGACTTGCTCGGTCCCGGCCGAACTCCAGGCGCCAAAGCAAGCAGGATATATCCGGGCTGCCCCGGAGCGTTGCTGGGGTCGTTCCCTTCGGTGGCGTTGTTGAGGCTGTCCCCACTGCTGTTGGGCTGGGGGGCCCACGGGTTCGGCAAGGGCTCTCTGTTTTCCACCTGGGCCAGGGGCCTGATCCCCCCTGAAGAAGGGGGCTTGCTCTCCGAGGGGGCAAACGGGTCCCCCTGGAACTGGGCCTGCACGGCGTTCAGCATCGGGGCCTCGATGTCGTGGTAGAGCTGCTGCAAGGCGCTGTACCCCCCGGGGATGCTCTCCAAGTTGCTCAGGGCCCGGTCGTGGTTGCGGATGATCTCGTCCATCACAGCCGGGCTGGTGGCCACATCGATCATTTCCCTCAGGAACTCCGAGTTGTTGAGGATGTGGCTGATCTCGGGGTTCTGCTCCGCCAGCTGCTGCATCTGGGGGACAGACATGATCAGCTGCCTCACCTGCTCTGTGTCGCCAAACAGGTTCTGCACCAAGGGGTGCTGCATCACGTCGCTGATCAGCTCCTGCCGGGTCACGTCCTGCTCCTGGCCCTCGCTCACGAGGTCGGACACGTCCGTGGCGTTCACGCCCAGGACGCTCATGCCCGTGACGCCAATGAGGAAACCCAGGAGGAGGGGGTTGTCGTTCAAGGTGGAGGCGTCCAGCTTCAGAGAGACCGTCTGGAGCAGGAGGTTCTCCAGAGTCTGGGCCACGAGCTCGTGGCAGGAGGCCACCATTTCCTCGGGCTGGCCATTCCACTCGGCCAGGTCCAAGCCGTGCAGCCCGTCTGCCGTGGGCACAGGCAGGAACGTGGCGGGGCCGCACCCCCTTGGGGCGGGGTTCCCCGGAGTTCTCCTTGGGGACTTGATGAAGAGGTGGACTTTGGAACCGTCGCCCACCTTATGCTGCGCCAGCGTGTCCTGGTCTTTCAGGATCTCCCCAGCAAAGATGAGCGACAGCTGCTCCGGCGGCGTCTGGAAGCGCTCTGAGATCAGCCTCTTGAAGTCCTGGACCACGGTGCTCTCGGCCACCTCGAAGCGTTCCTTGCGCTTGAGGGTCTTCACGATGACTCTGACGACCCGAAAGGCGGGGGCCGCCGCCCTGGGGGGCTTCTTGCTCTCGGACATGGCTGCCCAGAGCCGGCCTGCTGCGATGGGCCCTGGGGACAGGAGAGGAGGAGGCGGCGAGTGCAAATCCTCTTTCCTGGGTGGGCGGCGGTGGTGCTCGCCAGGCGGGAAGGGGCCAGTGCTCTGTCCCTGCTGCCCCCCGTCGTCTCCACCCTAGCCAAGGCCAGAGCGTACATACCAGCGAGATGTTGCCCTTCTCTTGCGCTTGCTCACAGCCCGGCTGGATCCCTCATTTTCCTCTTCTCCCCCCCCTCCTCCAGGCAGCTGCCCCCCCTGGGCTCTTCCTCCCGGTGGGCCCAGCTGGACTATGACCTCACGGCTGAGCTCACAGAGCAAGGAGAGCCAGACCCCAGGCAGGCAGGCAGGCAGGCCGGCTGCTGCCCAGCCCTCCCCACAGCCATTGGCACCCACCCTCCTCCACCCACTGCCCCTTGCGGAAGGCCCTGCCATGCGCTGGGCAGGTCCCTGGGGGAGAGCTCCCCCCCCCTCCCCGTGAGGGTGTGCCTTTGGCATCCTTTGGCTCAGGGCCGAGCGGAAGGTTGCAGAGATCACCCGTCACGAGTGTTTCCAGCAGATGTTTGTCCCTGAGAAGCCCAACTGGCAAAGACCACCCGGGCAGCCCCAGAATGGCGGCAGCGGGTGAGCCAAGGAGGAGGCGGGGGGGATGCAGCCCTCCCTGCAGTGACCATCAGATGTTTTCAGCTGCTAAACACGTTTATTCATAATATTTTTACTGTGCCTTTCTGCCAATTTACACCATTCAAAGGCCATATTTAAAGCAAAAAACAATATACAAATATTTAAAAGGATCAAACAAATTTTACACTAAAAAAAGTAAACAAAAACACTACCAAAACCACATTCAAAGCAATAATGCATAACAATCAATGTAAAAAACCACGCACAGGTAGCTAGTTACTGAGGGAAAGCTTGCATGAACAGGAAGTCCTCTCCTGACGATCTTTTTGGCCAGTCTGGATCATCATGGGAGATGCAGTCCTTGAGACAGCTTGGGTCCAGGCCGTTTAGGGCTTTATAGGTTGGACCCAGAACTTTGAATTGTGGCTGGAAATAGATCAGCAATGAAAGGAGCTGCTGTAACAGGTGTGTGTGTTGCGGGGGGGGGGGGTTATGTGATCCCTGTAACCAGCACCAGTCAGCAATCCAGCTGCCCCATTTTGGACCCATTGACATTTTCAAGCACATTTCAAAGCAAGCCCCCCATGGACCACTTTATAGTAATCATTACCATCTCCACGCAAGAAATGGAGGTTGTTCATGATTTTGTATACCTTGGCTCAATGATCTTGTCTTGTTCTTGCTTATGAAATGCATGCGGGACTTCCTGTTCGCTGATGATGCAGCCATTGTTGCCCCCTCTGCTGAAGACCTCCAACAACTCATGAATCGTTTCAGCAGGGCCTGCCAAGACTAACAATCAGCCTGAAGAAAACACAAGTCATGGGCCAGGGGGGGGACTCCCCTCCCTCTATTACCATCTCCACGCAAGAATTAGAGGTTGTTCATGACTTTGTGTACCTTGGCGCAACGATCTCTGACACTCTGTCTCTCTAGATGTCGAGCTGGATAAACGCATTGGCAAAGTAGTTACCATGTTCTCTAGACTCACGAAGAGAGTATGGCTTAATAAGAAGCTGACGACATAGACCAAGATCAAAGTCTATACAGCCTGTGTCCTGAGCACACTCCTGTCCTGCAGCGAGTCCTGGAGCCTTTGTGCACGGCAGGAGAGGAAGCTGAACACGTTCCATAGGCGTTGCCTCTGACGCATTTTTGGGATCACTTGGCAGGACAAAGTTCCAAACAAAGTAGTCCTAGAACGAACTGAAAGTTTTAGCATGAATACATTACTGAAACAGTGGCGTCTACGTTGGCTCAGGCATGTCATGAGAATGGCTGATGATTGGGGGCGGGCCTGAAAGCACCAAAAACAGGGAGTTGGACAGGGGACAGATTGGATTTGTCTTCAGTGTGGAAGGGATGGTCTCTCTCGAATCAGCCTCCTCAGCCACACTAGACGCTGTTCCAAGTCCTCCATACAGAGCACGTTCCCATAGTCTCTCAAGACTGAAGGATGCCTAACGAATCAAAGCAAGCCCCCCATGGACCACTTTATAGTAATCCCCACATAGAGGGCATTACAGTAATCCAGCTGGGACGTGACTAAGGCATGGGTCACTGTGGCCAGATCAGAATGGATCTCTCCAGGAATGGATGCAGCCGGCAGAACACTTTCCAAAGACAGCCCCACGTAGATAGAGTGTGTTGCGGTAATCCAGCCAGGATGTCACCCTGGCCAGATCAGGCCTCTCAATAAACAGGTGCAGCTGGCACACTAGTTTTAGCTGTTCAAAGGCACTCTTGGGCGCTGCCGAAACCTGGACATCCAGGCTCAGAGATCAATCTGGGAGCACCCCGAAACTGTGGACCTGTGTTTTTGGGGGGGGGAGTGTAACCCCCGTCTACAACAGGCAGCATCCCACTTGTTGGATCTGCACTTTGACTGACCAGGAGCCTCTCTGTCTTGTGTGGATTAAGTTTCAGTTCATTCACCCCCGTCCATGACTGACATCAGGCACTGATCTGGAACCGAGACAGCTTCCTCGGATTAAGAGGGCAAGGGGGGAGAGCGAGAGCTGCATTCGGGTCGTCTGCATTCGGGTGACACTGAACTCCAAAACCGCAGGCAGCCTCTCCCAGCGGCTTCATGCAGATGCTGAATAGCATAAGGGACAGAAGAGAACTTGGAGGGGCTCCCCAGTCAGGCAGGAGTCCCCCAGCACCACCTAGAAAGGACCAGGGCGACCACAAAACAGGGCCTCCAAGACCTACCTCAGAGATATGGCCAAGGATGGTGCTGAAAGCCGCCGAGAGGCCCGGCAGAAGCAACAGGGACACCCTCCCCCTGACTGTGACATGGTGTGTCGCTCATCTGCCCAGGGGCTGCTTCTTGGGGCTGCCACATAGAAAGGGCAAAGCCCCCACCCCCACCCCCGGTCCAAGGAGCAAGTACAGCTTCAGGGAGCTTGCTTCCTTCCTTCCTGCCGGCCCGCTGCCTCTTGCTACTTTGCTGCTGCAGCCGACCTTTCAGGACCACCGGGAGGAGGGGGCTCTGGGGGACACAGCACAGAGGAGAGGCTGGGACTGGCAGGAAAATTGGGTGGGGGGGGCAAGGTAGCTTCTCTCCACCAAAATCCCCATCTCTGGCATCCCACAAAACCCTGATCCGTGTGACGACGTGTGTGCCCCTCCCAACCCCTGCCACTGCCATCTGACACAGGTGTGGTGGCTCCACATTTTGGGAGGAGGAGTCAAGCACAGAGTCCTGGGGGGGCACCTGCCGGGACAGACCTCTGCCCCCCCCCCGTGGCTGGGGGGAGTCAAGCACAGAGTCCTTGGGGGGGCACCTGCCAGGACAGACCTCTGCCCCCCTCCCCGCGGCTGGTCTGCCTTCGGCACAAAGGCCCAGATTGTGGAGGCCAAGCCCCTGCTTCCCATCCGCCTTCCAGTTTTGGGGGTGGGCAGGAGGGGAGGCAGAAGCCGGCTGGCCAGAGGGCGCATCATTGTCGAGGAGGGGAGTGTGGCCGTGGGCGTTGGCAGGCACCAGGCCGTGCCAACCAGGGCCAAGGTGGTCGCCTTCTTCTTCTTCTTCTTCAGAGAGGCCTTTGGCATTGAAGAAGAACTGCTGCTGGGCTGGGATGCTGCTCACCGGCTTGTTTCTTCCATTTTTATTTTTAAAAACATGTCTGTTTGTTTGTATACATTTGCAATAAATTGGCCTTCACAAATGCAGAGCTGGGGAAAGTTTCCTCTCCAACGGGCAGCTCCCAGAACCGCTTCAGCCGCCCCGCAGAAGACTTTCCCCCCAACTCTGCTTGAATGCCGCTACGGTGCGTGGCCCCTCGTGCCCATTTTTGTCTTCAGAGGTGGCACCTGCGTGACAAAATGTGGACTGGCAGGACACGTGGGAAGAGTTTGCTCCTTGGGGCTAAGGCTGGGGGCGGGGGAGAGGAGGGAGCCGTCCACTGACGCAGCCAGGCACTTGGGGCAAATCTTGCGGGTGGTGGGCAGCTGAGGGCCGCAGGGAGAGGCCAGGAAGGGACACCCGCCTTCCTCCTTCCGCCACCAGGCCCCCGCCTCCCCCTCCCCCCCAAAGGTGGCCATCACAGCAACGAGGTGAGCTTTTGGCACCCCTGAGTTCTTTCAGTCCAAGATCTCCCTCGGAGGAAGGAGCCGGCGTGGACAAAGAGAGGCAGGCAGGACGCCAAGGGTGGGTTTGCATTTCCTTTATAAAGCTGGAGCCGCGATTCAGGTCCACAGGTGACAGGCGTGCCAGCAGTGCCCCCCCCTCCCAGCAGAGCCCACTGCTTCACCCAGGGGGACGCTGGGGCTGCCTTGTGCAAGCCCGCCCATCCAGCCAAGTCAGCGAGGGGGGGGCTCCTCCATCACTGCCGGTGGCTCCCAGGGTTTCTGGCGGAGAGAGGGGGGAACCAAAAGACACCCCCACCCCTCACCCCAAGAGGAGCAAGGGGCAGGGGGCCCTTACTCCGTAGCAGCGGATCCTCCTTGGCAGGGAGGCTCTCGGGGCCCCGGGGTCCCCCCAGCGGAGTTCCCCAGCCCCCTCAGGCGCAGCATAAACCAGGGGATGAGGACAGGGGCCTCGGCGGCCAGCCCCTGCAGGCCCTGCTCCATCTGCACCCAGGCCTGGATGGCCCGGGGGTTGGCGAGGGCGGCCACCATCTCGGGGCTCTGCATCTGCTCGGAGAAGTGCAGCACCTGCCGGCGGACATGCTCGGGCTGGGCGGCCAGAGCCCCGTCCGAGTCCAGGAGCGCATTCTGCATGAGGGAGAACATCATGCGCTTGGTGTAGGCGTTGCAGAGGTTCACGATCAGCATGGGGATCTCGGCCGCTTCCGGAGCCTGGAGCCCCCCCGCGTTGAAGAGCTCTGTCCCCGGGGCGGGCGCGAGGTCGAGGGCGGACGAGCTTTTGCCAAGAGGACCGGCGAGAGTGTGGAAGGGCCGCCCCTCGTCGTCTCGGCCGTCGGACCAAATGCTGGTGGAGCTGGGGGTGAGGGGGAGGGCCCCCCTGCCCTCTTGGGTTTCCATGGGGAGGCCTTGGCTGCTCAGGCCAGGGGGCTCCGAGCACGGGCTCCTCGCCAGGGTGGCGAACGGGCTGGAGGGGCCCAAAAGGTCCTGGCCCGCCGGCTCCTGAGCGTCGCTGCTGCTCAGTTGACTCAAAGGGTTGTCCCCGCCGGGGATGTTGCTCTGGAGGCTGATCAAGGACTGGTCGCAGCCCTTCGGGTCCGGCGCCGCCATCTCCGGGTTCTTGGCGAGCTCCATGATCTCCCTCATTTTGTCTAGGATCACCCTCATGATGCCCATGTGGTTCAGGATCTGGCTGAGGGCGGGGACCTGCTGGGCCAGCCGCTGGATCTCCGGGTTGGCCAGGATCACCCGCCGGACCTTCTGGAGGATCCTCTCCGAGGCGGGCCCCAGCGGCCGCTCGGCACTGGAGGGGCTCCTTTCTTGGGGGGCCCACGAGCCCCGGCTAGTCCTTGGGGAGGCCAGGCTGCCCTCGGACGCGGCGGGGGCACCGGCCGCTTCCCCGGGCCCGTAGGGAGGCCGGGGCGGCTGCTCCTCCTCCTCCTCTCTCTTCAGGGACCGGATCATCAGGTGGACGGTCGTCCCGTCGCCGACGCCGCACTGCCGGAGGGTGTCCGGCTCCTTCAGGATCCGGCCGAAGAACACCAGGACCAGCTGGTGGGGCTCGCAGTGGAAGCGCTTGGAAATCTCCTCTTTGAGCTGGAGGACCGTGCTGGCCTCGGGCAGCACAAACTGGGCACACCCGGTGGGAGACTTGGCCGTGACGCGGATGAAGCTGGGGCTGGAGGCGACGAGGGCTGGAGGGGCCAGCGGGGGGGCCTCCGGGTCGTGGCCCATCACTTCCTCCATGGCGGGCCTTTCGGGAAAACCCTTCAGGGCAGCGCGGGCCCGGCCGGGCCTGACAGGGCAGAGACGGTGGAGGAGGTGGAGGAGGAGGTGGAGGAGGTGGAGGTGGGCGCGGCGAAGGGAAAGAGGTTGGGGGTCACGTCTGTCGGGTCCAGGTTCTTCTCTACCACTGCAGCGTCGGGCCTTTGGGAGAGCGGCCCCCCACGCCCATGCTGGAGTGAAGGGATGGCAGAAGTGCAGGTCGGAGCCCCTTCTTCCCCCTTTCCTTTCCTGTCTTCCCTCCCTCCCTCCCTCCCTCCCACTTTTCCCTTTCTGGGCCTGGGCGATGCGCTTCCCAGGGCAGAACTTGGGCAGAGTGGGTGTCACTGTGACGTCACCAGAGATGTCACTGCCAGCAGCACAGTGGGCAGAACTCTCTGTGTGTGTGTCTCTCTCTCTCTCTCGCTCTCTCTCTCTCTCGCTCTCTCTCTCTCTCGCTCTCTCTCTCTCTCGCTCTCTCTCTCTCTCGCTCTCTCTCTCTCTCGCTCTCTCTCTCTCTCGCTCTCTCTCTCTCTCACACACACACACACAGAGAGAGAGAGAGAGAGAGAATTGTAATTTAACACACTAGAAGGACAAGACGTTGAAACTGGAGCAGAAGGCAGTACTAAGCTTTGGGGCTGCTCTAAATGGTGTGATTGAAGGGGTACCCCACACAATGTCCCAGTCAGTCAGCTGATGCTCATGGGATGTAGTGGTGGAGGCAGCGATGTGCTGTTAAGTTGCTTCTGGCTTATGCTGACTCTATGAACGAGTAACCTGCAAAATGCCCTAGCATTAATTGTCTAGCTCTTGCAAACTCGAGGCTGTGACTTGCTTTAGGGAGTCAGCTCATCCTGAAGGAGTCAAATCAGCATATCTATCTATCTATCTATCTATCTATCTATCTATCTATCTATCTATCTATCTATCTATCTATCTATCTATCTATCTATCTATCTATCTATCTATCTGTCTGTCTGTCTGTCTGTCTGTCTGTCTGTCTGTCTGTCTGTCTGTCTGTCTGTCTGTCTAAATAACTCAGCCTAACTGCTAAATTATAGAAGCAACCCATCTTGCTTCTATAATTTGCTTCGCTACATGAATGTGTAAACCTATTGTGTCAGGTTTTCTGCTTAGCGGAGGAGAAGAGACAAAGGAGGGAGGCTGCCTGAATTGCTTTTACTTGCAACTCACTAGTCTAACTGGCCACATGTCCTTGGTGAGTGGTAAGAGACCAGGGAATCTAACCTCAGGGTACTGGGAGGGACGAGCTCAAACAGCTGCAAACCCTCCTTCTTCTCCTCCTTCTCTCCCCCCCCCTGCACCCGTTGCCTCCCTCTTCATACAAAAGTATACAATATTCTGCCATGAGTGCAGCCTGCTCTTCTCCGCATGTTTGGCGGGTGAGGTTGCATCTATTATCTTTGCTTCGTTTCAGCTGAAAATAAATATATATATATAGGACCTGCTTGTCCCTGGTTAATTGAACATTGTATATCAGAGACAGGTTAATGCCCAGAAATAAGATCTGGCCCCGTTCAGTCTTGGTCGCTTCCTTCCTCTTTTCCTGCTCGCTCCCACTTCCCCCAGCATCACTGTCTTTTCCAGCGAGCCTGGCTTTGGATGGCTGTGCCCTCTGACCCGCTTGGAGGGTGAGCCCCTGCACCCCACAGCTGCTGCCCACCAGGTGATCGTATGAAGCTTGGAAGCAATGGGGGGCCCGATCCAAAGTCTGATCCTAGGCAGGGAGTGAGGACTGCCCCTGGAGGTGGGGGTTTGATAGCGACCCCCACCTACCCAGAGGGTTGGTAACTGGCGAGCACTCCCGCCACACGCACTGGCACGAAGACACCTCCGGTCCCCTTTCTCCCCCTCGGCATCTGTGTCCCGCCTGGTGGTGATGGCACCTCTCCTTCCCCGGACGCAAGAGATGGAGGCCTCCAGGGCAGGCAGCCGCCCAGCGTGCAAAGGGATGTGGCCACAAGCCCCCCCTCCCCAGTCCACCCTTCTCCCCACCCATGGTTCCTCCCTGTGGCAGAAGGAGACCCCTCTGGCTGGCAGATCCCCCCCCCACTCCGGCAAAACCTCCCCCCCAACTGCTGCCCTTCTGCCTTCCATGGGCTTGGAAGAGAAGGCCGGCAGCATTTGACCTTCCTCCCGCTTTGGGGAGCAGGCAGGGGCCCCAATTCGTGTGGGGAACCCTATAGGCGCAGAGCTGCCCCTTGGCTTCAGGTCTTCCACCCCACAAACCCTGCCATGCAAAGGGGGGGTGGGGGGTGAAGGGTAAAGGACAGAACCCTACCCCACAGGTCCTGGTTGGCACCTTCGCCAGGCTGCCTTTGGCTCAAACTCAAACAAACCCCCCTGGTGCTCACCAGACGCCCAAGAGCAAGGGGGAAGAGGCAGCGGGGAGGGGGGGCAGGCTTTCATTCACAGCGTGGAAGAGGCGTTCTCCTCCTCTTTGTTTTAGAGAACATCATCAGGGGATAAAGCAAAACAAACCTCCTGCCTTTCCAATGCATGTGATGCGACAGGCCTCAAAGCACACACACACACACACACACCACACACACAGAGAGAGAGAGAGAGAGAGAGAGAGAGAGAGAGAGAGAGACTCGCACCCAAAGCATACAATTGCGAACAGGAGCCTTGGCAGCTGCTCAGTCCAGTCCCAGCTTCTTCCTTCAGCCCCTGGGGGCTCAGAGGTTTCACTTGGAAGAGCCAGTCCCTTTTCTCTCTCAAAAGGTTTCACCTCCCTGCTCGACGACATTGAGGGTCCAGATGTTGTCATCCAGCATTGGATGCCCCCGTTAAATGGGATTTGGAAACTGTACTTCTGTTAATGCAGCCTAAAATACCATTTGGCTTTTTTCTAGCCACATCCAGTGTTGGCCCATATTTAGCTTATGATCTACAACAATTCCAAGCTCCTTCTCGCTCGTACTTTTGCTGAGCCAGGTACCCCCCCCCCCATCTTGTAACTGTGCAATTGGTTTCTTTATTCCGAGGTGTAGTACTTTGCACTTATCCCTGTTGAATTTCATTCTGTTGCTTTCAGCCCGGTGCTCCATCCTATCAAGGTTATTTTGAATTTTGTTTCTGTTTTCTGGGTATTTGCTATTCTGCCCAAATTTCTGTCATCTGCAAATTTGACAAGTATTCCCTGCCCTCCCTCATCCAAGTCATTAAGCAAAATGTAGAAGAGCACCAGGCCCAGGACTGAGCCTTGGGGTACCCCACTTGTTACCTCCTCCCAGATGGAGAAGGAACCATTAATCATCACCCTCTGAGTACGATTCTACTGCCAATTGTGCATCCTCTGGACACTTGATCTGGGAGACTATACTTCTGCTAATGTAGCTTAAAACAGCACTTGTCTTTGCTGCAGCCACATCACACAGTTGGCTCAAGGGGCACCTTGTCAAAGGCTTTGCTGAAGTCAAGATGTATTGTGTAGGCATCCTTCAGTCTCGAAAGACTATGGTAGCGTGCTCTATATGGAGGACTTGGAACAGCGTCTGGTGTGGCTGAGGAGGCCAATTCAAGATGTATTATATCTACAGCATTCCGACTGTCTACCAGGGAGGTGACCTGATCCAAAAATTAGATAGGATACATCTGGCAGGATTTGTTCTTGACAAATCCATGTTGGCTTCTAGTTATTGCTGCATTATTTTCTAGGTGCTTGCAGGGTGACCTCTTTATAATGTGTTCCAGAATTTTCCCTGGAATTGATGTCAGGCTGGCCAGTCTGTCGTTCCCTAGTACTCCCTTTTTGCCCTTTTCCAAGACAGGGACAGTCTTAGCCCTCCTCCAATCCTCTGGCCCTCCACTCAAGAAGATGACGGAGTGTGGTTCTGCAATCTCTTCGACCAGTTCCTTCCATATCCTTGGATGCAGTTCATCCAGTTCTGGAGATCTTGTTCGAGGTAATAAAGCATCCCTTGACTATTTGTTCATCGGTCTCCAGCTGCAATCCTGCCCCTTCCCTTTGTACTTCACATTTGCCAGGAGGGATCATAGATCATTTCTGATAATGAAGCTCAGAACATTAACTTCTGTGCCATTGGCCAGAATCCTGTTCCATTTTGGCACACATGCCCGGGACCCTCGGCAGCTGCTGCCACCAGGAGCCAACCAGCCGCACACATTCCAGCCACGTAACTGTCGCACAGCACCCTGGCCCTTGTCTTGCCTATCAAACGGAGTGTGTTTGCCCCATGAGGAGACTGACTAGGAGGCGGGAAAAGGCCTGAAAGGCTTCGTCTTTGCCTGGGGGGGGGATCTCAGTGGACCTTGGTGAATCATCCTCTAAAACGGACTTTCTGGGGAGGAAAGGGCTGCTGTCACCCTGCCTTTACTTGCAAGGTGACCTCCGGAGAGCCTGCCGTCTCTGTTTCCAGAAGGAGAGCCAACAGAAGGCAAGGAGGCAGACTTTGAAAGATTTAAAGACTTTTATTCAGAAACCACGACCGCCACTCCGTCCGCCTGCTCCCACGTCCACCCCGCAGCCGTAGTGGCAGCAGCAGCGGCAGCAAAAGAGCCGCCCTCCCAGCAGGGGCACCCTGGTCAGACGCCTGCAGTTCACAGCTTATACATCCGCTTCTGCTCCGCTGACGGCTGTGCGGAAGAGCCACGGGGACGGTTGGCGGATTTGGCCCCGGCCAAGAAGCTGGGGCTGATCAAGGTCTGCAAGGTCTGCAAGACCTGTGGGGCAGAACCCTCCTGGGGCCCTCCGCCCGGGGCTGGGGGGACAGGGTCGCAGAGAGAGGTGATGGAGTGGGCTCTCCGGGCGGGCCGCTCGGATCGGCCTCGCCTCTCTGCCGACGGTGCGTCGGCTGCCAGGGCCTGCAGCCGGTACTGGATCTCCAGCAGCCCCTGGATCTCTTTGGGGCTCCAGCTGGCCAGGAGGAGGTCCGCGCTTTGGAACTGCTGCAGGAGGGCCAGGACGGGAAGGGCCACCGCGTGCTCTCGGGAGGTCCTGGGCCCAGTCAGGCTCCTCCAGGTAGTCACTGGGACCCCCGTCTCTGGGGCAGGGCTGGGTCGCTGCCCAGAGGAGTTCCGGGACGGGCTGCCGGCCATGTTCTGCACCAGGTGCTTGATGATCTGGTGGAGGAGGCTCTTGACGGCTGCGGAGGCCAGCTGCCCGGCCTCTCCTCGGAAGGCCGCCTGGCTTCCTTCCTTGCTGGGCTCGTGGCCACCGGCAGCCGGGTTCTGGGGCCCAGGCTTTGGAGACCAGCCTCTGGGAGAAGGCAGGCGCTCTCTGACCCAGCCGGGCTTCTCATCACCGTCCAAGGGGGCCTGGGGGCCACCTGAGGAACTGGACCACAGCGGGGTCCTCGTCCGTTTGGCAACGGCTTTCTCCCCCAGCCCAGGCATCCCTGTGAGAGAATCGGGCAGGGCCCCATTGTTGTCCCCGCTGGGCGCCCTTCCCGGGCATCTGAGGGCCTGGGGTGGGCATCGGATGATTTCTCGCACCGCCGCCGGGTTCTTGGCGAGCTCGACCACCAGCTTCACACCTTCGGGAGAGCTGAAGAAATGGCTGATCTCGGGGGCCCTCTGCATCACCTGGCGCACCTGGGGGTTGTCGGTGACCAGCTCCTTCATCAGGCCAGGGCGTGAGAGCTTGCTCTGAATGAAAGGGTCCTCCAGCAGCTGGAGCATCACCTCCGGGTTGGACATGAGCTGGCTCTGGAACTCCCCAAAGTTGGTCGTGTTGAGGCCCAGGCTGGCCGTCAGCTCCCGGAGCCGGTCACGGGCAAAAGTGCCGTCCCGGGGAAACGTCTGTTCCGAGCCGGCAGGAGCGGCAGAGGCCTGCTGGGGCCGAGCGTCCCGTGGAGGCCGGATGACCACGTGGACGGTGGCGTCCCTGTCCAGATGGAGCCCGTGCTGGCTGAGGGTCCGGCGGTCCTTCAAGATCCTTCCAGCATACACCAGCTCCACTTGGTCTGGAGAAGAGGAGGAGGAGGAGGAGGAGGAGAAATGGCGGGCGACGTGTTCCTTGAGCTCTCGGACTGAGGTGTCCTTGTGAAGCAGAAACTCTTCTTTCTGCCAGGGGCTCTTCACCAGGATCCGGACCACCTGAGGCTCGGAGGGGGCTCCCAGGTCAACTCCTGGGATCCTCCGGCTTTCCACCATGATGCAGGCCAAGCGGCTTCTTTCTTTGGCGAGGGGGGACCCCAACGGCCCTCCGATGAGAGTTGGCAGAGGCAGGCTGCTCCCTCGCTGTCCCTGCGGCCCAGTCGGTCCAGCCTTAAGCGGCCCTGGTTGCCCTACGCCGTCCCCTCAGGAGCCCTGTGGGCTTCCTCTCCTCACCACCCCCTCGCCACCGCCTCCTGATACAGAATCCCTGGTTTGTGACGTCACTGCCGAGGTCACAGCGCCAGCTGCCTTTGCAGCATCCCACTCCCTCTGGTCCCCCCCCGCCCCAGCCTAATGGGGGTGGGTCCCATGGGGAAGAAGAAGAGGAAGAACTCAGCAAGCCAATGGGGTTGGGGGGAGCTGCGGGGTGGTGGTGGTGGTGGTGCCCCCCATCAGAGGGCCTTGGATCTCCTTCGCATGTTACTCAGCAGCCCATGAGCCTGGCTTTGCCCCTCGATGGCTGGCCCTCTTTTGTCGCGTAGCCCTCCCACCAGGTGGACGTCTGAGAGGATCCAGGTCTTTCCCCTTCTGGGGCGCTCAGAGGCCTTCTGCAAAGCCCCGTCCACACCCCAACGTCAAAAACGCACCCACCTTCCTGCCCTTGTGTGTCGAGGTGCGGCTCAAGCCTCTCCCTCACCCGAAGGCCTCTCCGTGGGAAAGACCCCAGTGGTCAGGGCCAGTCTTTGTGCTTTGAGTAGTTCGGCGCACACACGCATGTGCGCACGCGCGCACACACACACACACAGCACGCATGTGCGCACGCGCACACACACACACACATGCGCATGCGCATACACACGTGCACGCGCGCGCACACACACACACACACGTGCACATGCACGTGCACACACACACACGTGTCACTTCCATCCACCCTGGCCCATAAACATCTCATAGTTCTGCAGATGCTAAATCGGCCAGCTGGTTGCACCTCTGGGATCCAGGTGACGGGGGTTGCTGGGGCTTGGGCAGCACCCAGAAATATGACTGCTTGACTCACACCCGCCCTCGTCTTGGAGAGGCAAAACGATGCCAGCCAGACGGGCCCCTGCCAGGGTGGAAGTGACCCAACCGCAGGCGGCAGGAGACCCGAGGCAGCCTGCCCTCAGACGCACCCTGGGTCAGGCCGCCTATGGCGTGCAGGCAGAATAAGCCATCTGGCCGCACCAACTCTGAACCCTGGTAGATCCCCCTGCCAGTCCCAAGAAGGCAGAAGAGCCCAATCCACCCAGCAGGCCTTCACAGAGCTGGAGGGAGAGTTGGGCCCCTGGCGTCGTTCACGTACGAGCAACAGAAATGTCAGCCTGGAGACCCGGCTAGCCCATGTGCCCCAACGTCTGCTCACCCCTGAGGGGTTCTGCTTCCTTGGGGTTCCCGTCAGAAGAAGGGCTTCACCCCCACAGGCAGCCACCCATCAAGGCTCCGGGAGAGCAAGGCAGCCGGGCATTCATTTAAAGCAGCAGATTCTCCTCGTCTGCGAAAACACGTGGAGGACTCGCTCCCGGATCTGCTTCGTTCTGACGCCATAGACGATGGGGTTGAGGGCGGGGGGCATGATCACGTAGAGGTTGGCCAGCAGGATGTGGATGCAGCTGGGGATGTTCTGGCCAAAGCGGTGGGTGAGGAAGGAGAAGAAGGCTGGCGCGTAGAAGAGCAGGATGACGCAGAGGTGGGAGCCACAAGTGCGCAGGGCCTTGAGGCGGGCTTCCGTGGACGGCAGCCGGAAGACGGCCCGGAGGATCATGGCGTAGGAGAAAGCGATCAGCACGATGTCTATGCCTGAGGAGAGGAGGTTTGTGGTGAAGCCGTACCAGATGTTGACCGTGATGTCCGCGCACGCCAGCCGGGCGATGCCCATGTGCTCGCAGTAGGTGTGGGGCATGGTGCTGTGGCCACAGTAGGGGAGCCTCTTGAGCAGGAAGATGGGTGGGAGCATGATGCAGAGCCCCCGTGCAACGGCTGCCACCACCACCTTCCCAATCACTGAGGGAGTCAGGATGGTCATGTAGCGCAGAGGGTCACAAACGGCAACGTACCGGTCAAACGCCATGGCCAGCAGGATGGTTGACTCTGCAATGAAGCTGAAGTGGGTGAAGAACATCTGGGCGATGCAGCCATCAAAGGAGATCCTCCTGGAACCAAACCAGAAGATGGACAGCATTTTGGGCACCGTAGCTGTGGACAGGATGAGATCGGCTACCGACAGCATGGCCAGGAAGAGACACATGGGTTGGTGGAGGCTGCGGTCCGTCAGGATGAGAAGCAAGAGGAAGGAGTTCCCAAGGAGCGCAATCACGTACATCACGCAAAAGGGGACGGAAATCCAGATGTGCGATTCTTCCATGCCTGGGATGCCCGTCAGGACAAACGTGATGGGATCAAAGCTGCTTTGGTTCAAAGCTGTCATGATGGGAAGAGTGACTATCTCAATCAGAGTCTGCTACTCCTGAAGAAGAAGAAAAAGAGAGGAAAGAAACCATGAAAATGGACCCCCTTGGAATGGTCCCAGGCAACCCCTCTGCTGGGGTAAGAGAAACCACCTCTGGCTTTGACCATCCCTTGTGGGGGGGGCAACACAAGTGGAAGAAGGCAAAGTGGCCTGTGGGGGACCGAGGTTGCAGGATCTTCCCTCTGGTCCCCTGTGGTTTCAGCTTCAGTTCTGTGGCCTCCACCCAGCCCTCGACTGCAGCTGAGCCTGCCTCCTTCCCTCCCTCCAATAAGAAGACCAAAGAGGGGTCAGCCTGGGCACAGACCAAGGTCAGGCTCACTCACAACCTCCTGCCCACCGTGGCCCCAGTGAGTACCCCAAGCGGCCCCAAATGCAAGCCATTTCCCTGCCTGATCACCCCCTCCGACCTTGTTTCCTACCACCATGCCCAAAGTAAGGTAAAGGTAAGGTTCCTCTTGACATTTGGTCCAGTTGTGTCCAACTCTAGGGCTCAGTGCTCATCCCCGTTTCTAATCCGCAGAGCCAGTGTTTGTCCATAGACAGTTTCTGTGGTCACGTGGCCAGCGCGACTAGACACAGAACGCCATGACCTTCCCACTGAGGTGGTACCTATTTATCTACCCGTATTTGCATGCTTTCGAACTGCTAGGTTGGCAGGAGCTGGGACAAAGTGATGGGAGCTCACTCCATCGCATGGATTCAATCTTCCCATGGCTGGTCTTCCAACCGTGCAGCCCAGAGGCTTTGGCAGTTTAACCCGCAGCGCCACCCACGTCCCTATGTGCCCAAAGAGGACACCGAGAGGACAAGCCAAACAGGAGCCAAGTATCTGATGTGGTAAGCATCAACAGCTGCAGCAAGCGGCGAAAGGGGGTATGCAATGCCAGGCTGCCTCGCTCGGAGACCAGCGTCCCTCTAGACCAGGGGAAGAGAGGGCACCACCCTGCCTTGGCCTTCCTCCGACCACCCCTGGACTCCTCGGCCAGTTCTGGGCAGCGGCGTAACCATGCAGGTGGAGGAAAGCGAGGAGGAAGAGGAGAGACAAGCCCGTGGTCCCTCCAAGCGTGTCTGAGCGCAGCCTTGCCGACTTTCCCTCTAAACGGGGGCTTCACCGCTGGGCCTCCGATTGTCCTGCCTTTTCCCGGACCTGGAGATGTTGCCTCCCCCTTTCTTTCTCCATCCCACCCCACCCTTTTTGGAGGGGAGGACTTTCCCCAAGCAAAAAGGCTGGCCAGCAGGCACCAGCATCCGGCTAGCAGCTGCCTCATAACCATGGGGGGAAATTCCTCTCTACCCCAGCCGCTTGGGGGGGGCACAGACCCTCCCCGGTTCTTCTTTGCCCCCCCTGACACCAGGGGGCTGCAGCTTCCCCCCCACCTGATGCCCCTGACGCCTCCTGCCCCCCCCGGAAAGGTCGCCTCCAAGGGCGTCTCCTTGCGGGAGAGAAGGTAGGAGGTCGTCCCCAGGGACTCCTGGCGAAGGCAGAGCTGAACTCCGTTTAAAAATGATTAACGAAAGAAGGAATGGGGCGCCCCAGGCGGTCCTCAGCGCACGTCCCGGAAACGTGTCGCAGGTGCAGGTCCTGAGCTCCCGGGTTACGGAGGAGAAACGCACAGAAGAAAACCCACCAGGAGCACCATCAGCCCGGCCAGCAGGTGGAGGGGGGAGTTGGGGGGAGACCTCAGGCAGTAGCGCCCCCCAACACACACACACCCCACCCTGGAGGCCAAGCCTGCTTTCTGGGGGAAGCCCCCAGATGGCCAGCCACCTCTCGGGCCGGGAAAGCACCGTTCGCGGTCGTATCGCGCATCCTGCACTGGGCCCCAGGGCTGTACCACTGGGTGGTCCCCACGTGAATGCAAGGGGCTCCAAAGTGCAGTGCGGGGTCCCTGGTGTGAACGGGGGGGGCATGGCAGTGGCCTTTTCTTGGACAGAGGCCGCCTGGGGGATTCCGTTTGGGATCTGAGTCGATAAAGGTAACGTTGCGCTTCAAGTCCTTGTTTAAGGGCTTCCCGAGAGCAGCAAAAAGGTTTTGATGCCTAGAGGTCTCTGTCCTTCTCCCGGCCCTTCTTTCTGTCCCCTCAGCTCCTTCCACGGGAGGGTGGAGGACTTTTCTCCTAGATGCCGCCCCCCAAATTCAGCAGACCGGGAGTCTCCATAAGTCAAGAAGAGGCAAAGGGTTTGTTGGGCTGCGCCCAGCCGCCCACGCTGGCTGCCGGCCATCCCAATCCAGGAAGGCTAGGCGGTCAGGCGGCGGCGGCGGCGCGCGGGGGGGGGGGCTTTCTGTGCTCTCCCCGTCTCCAAGCTGGAGGGAGCGAGCGAGCCAGCGGGCTAGCGGGATTTGAGCCCCACGCCCACCCCGGACTTTTCCCAGCCAGAAGAACAAGGGAGATCTTCCCTGTGTGTCAGAGAAATCACCACTCGGAACGGGGTGGGGGGCACTTTGCCTGGGGGAGGAAAGAGAGGGGAGAGAGTTCTCTTGTGACTCAACATACACCCATTAAAAAGTTCCATTACAGGCATGTCCTCGTGCGGCGGGGCTAGGGAAGCGCCCAACCGTTTCAAGAACTTTTAAAAGTGCCATTGAAAGATGGTTGTTTGTGGGTTTTTCGGGCTCTTTGGCGATATTCTGAAGGTTGTTCCTAACGTTTCGCCATGCCGGCCACAGAGACTGGCGAAACCTTAGGAAGAACAACCTTCAGAACACGGCCAAAGAGCCCACCCACAAACAACCATCTTTGTATTCTTCCGATTTCTTGGCTGCAGTTTGCCTTTGGATTAAAGAATCATGAAATCATGGAATTAAAAAGTCTTTCACCATTTCAGTTGTATAGCTCTTCTGTAGTGATGATTTTAGTCGACTTCATGTTCAGGTACAGTCCTGCTTTGGCACTTTCTTCTTTCACTTTCACTGTCTAAACCGAGAGGGACTCCCAGGGGCGCGGAAGTTCGGGGACCCAGGAGAAGGATCTCCGCTGAGCCAGCTCCCCAGGCCCAGTTCAATGTTTATGATGGTGGTTGTGGGTTTTTCGGGCTCTTTGGCCGTGTTCTGAAGGCTGTTCTTCCTGACGATTCGCCAGCCTCTGCGGCCGGCATCTTCTGAGGACAGGAGTAGGAACTCTGTCCATGCTCTGTTGCTGTTTGTTGGATAGTTGGATAGCATGGACAGAGTTCCTATTCCAGTCCTCAGACGATGCCCATGGCCACAGAGGCTGGCGGGATCACCATCAGATCCCGCCCGTGAAAGCCTTCAAGAAGACATTGCCATTAAAAAGTTTGAAACAAGGTCCCCGGGCATTTAAAGTAGGATTTCGTGTGGAGGAAGAAGGGAGGAGATGGACTGAGCACGAAGACCCTTCTTTCTCTCCCCCCCGCCCCCAACTTTTGCGAACTTTCTCTAATTGGGAGTTTATAAAACGAGCAAGCGAACTCACCAGCAGGTCGAACTGGGGGGGGGGCAAGTCGCCTTCCGGTCACTTTCCAGCCTAATTGGAGTAGCCATTCATTCGTAAAAACAAACCCTCCTCCCTCTGCGTTTGTAAGAGGTGCCTGCGACTGAGAGGCACACACTCTGTCTTGTACACAAACACACACACACACAGAGGGACAGACGGACAGACACAGAGAGACGCGGGGGGGGGCG